GAGTTGAATTTAAGACAGAGGAGATGGGTGGAATTTCTAAAGGATTACAATGTGGTAATTGATTTTCATCCGATTAAAGCAAATGTGGTAGAGGATGCCTTAAGTCGAAGGATGTTTGCAGCCTTGCAAGCTTTAGATGCCATACTATCATTAAGTGAAGATGGTGTAATATGTGCAGAATTGACTCTCAATCCATCATGGCTAGATCGAATTAAAGAATTCCAAGCAAAAGATGAAAAGTGTCTGAAGAAGCTGCAACAAGTAAATATATATGAGATAAAAGATTATGAGATCAAGTCTAATGGGAACTTGTATTATCGAGGGAGATTGGTAATTCCGGATGATGATGAGTTAAAGAAGGAATTGTTATCGGATGCTCATTTTAGTTCATTTACGATGCATCCTGGAGGAAACAAAATGTATATGGACCTCAAGAGTAAATATTGGTGGCTTGGAATGAAGAGGAATATTACAGAATTCGTATCTAAGTGTTTGACTTGCCTGCAAGTCAAAGCAGGCAAGTCAAACACGAGCATTAGGTTCCGACAAGAATATTACAACCAATGTATATTCCTCAGTAGAAATAGGAGAATGTGACGATGGATTTTGTGACGGAGTTACCTTTAACTCCAAACAAAAGAGACTCAATTTGGGTGATCTTAGATCGATTGACTAAGTCAACTCATTTCATTCCGGTACGAGTTGATTTCTCCATGGACAAATATGTTGAATTGTATATCAGGGAGATTATACGATTGCATGGTGTACCTGTTTCCATTGTTTCTGATCGGGTTCCTAAATTTACATTGCGATTTTGGAAGACTTTGCATGGAGCGCTAGGAACTCGATTAAATTTTAGCATATTGTTTTATCCTCAGACAGATGGACAGTCTGAGCGGACTATCCAAATCCTGGAGGTTATATTGAAAACTTGTGTTATTGAGTTTAAAGAATAGTGGGAAAGATATTTACCACTTGTTGAGTTTGCTTACAACAATAGTTACCAATTAAGCATCAAAATGGCTCCCTATGAAGCTCTTTATGGAAAGAGATGTCGTACGCCCTTGAATTAGTTTGAGCTCAAAGATAGAGAAGTCCTCGATCCTGAGTTGATTCAGGAAGTGGAAGAAAAAGTTTATGTAATCCAGAATAATCTGAAAGTTTTAGCTGATAGATAGAAATCATATGCAGATCTAAAGAGAAAACAAATTGAGTTTCAAGTTGGAGACATAGTGTTTTTAAAAGTATCTCCTTGGGAAAAGGTTTTGAGTTTGGACGTAAGGGAAAGCTTAGTCCCAGGTTCATTAGACCATATGAAACTGTTAAGAGAGTGGAACCAGTGGCATATCAATTAGACTTGCCACCTGAAATGGAGAAAATACACGATTTATTTCATATTTCAATGCTTCGAAAGTATAGATCCGATCTATCCCATATCGTGATACGAGAAGAGATCGAGGTTCAACCTGACTTGACTTATGAGGAAGAACAAATTTAAAATTTACCTCACAAAGTTAAGCAATTAAGGAACAAGACTATCCCATTGGTTAAAGTGTTGTGGAGGAATCACAAGATAGAGGAAGCAACGTGGGAGCGTGAAGAAGACATGAGGAATCAGTACCCACATCTCTTTGCACAATGAAAATTCGAGGACGAATTTTTCTTAAGGGGGAGATTTGTAACATCCTCAATACCGGGTTAGTGACTAAACTGTAAAACTTCAGAATTTGGTGACTAAAATAGAATAATCGAATAGTGCAATGACTTATATTGGAAATGTTGCGTAGGATTGAATTGCAAAGAAGAAGAAAATGAAGGAGAAAATGGTCATTGGCAAGGAAATAATTAAATTAGGTAACGGCTATATGTAACATGTGGATGGGAAGGAGGCAAAATCCAAGTTCCATAATTCTCTACTTCTCCTTCTTTTTACATACTTGAAATACCAAGGCAAAGGTGAGATTTCTTATTAGTTGATTATTAGTAGAAAATTATGTTTGGTTTTGATCATTAGGTGATACTTAAGCTTAAGGAAAGCTTAATTTGTCTTAAAACAATAAGATGAAGGGTATAAGAAAGATTAAGGATGAGGGGTTCTTAAATGAAATCTTGGTAGATAGGTAGTAATCAGATTTCAAGACCAAATTTGATTTGTCATCAGTGGAATTAAGGAGTATGAAGTGTTAAAATTGGAATTAGAACATGTTGAAAATTTGGTGTAATTCTTGATTTACATATAGAGGATAGGATTTTGAGGTTAAAGATGTGATAAATGAGTATTAATGGGTTTATGCATGTGTATGTGAGTTAAGAATATGAAAGGGGATGAAACATGAAGTGTTTGAGCTGAAATAAAGTAATTTTCGAGCGTAAAAAGTGATTTTTGGGCTTAAAAAGTGATTTTTGGGCTAGGGGTATCGATATCGATTCATCAGGTACCGATTCTTCAAGAGAAATTAAGGAAGGCATTCATGAGGTATCGATATCTGAAGAACAATATCGATTCCAAGGGTACCGATACCTTAAGGATGGTATCGATACCATCTTTGAAACGAAAATTACAGAATGCAATATGGGTATCAATACCTAGGTATGGTACCGATACCTATGTATGGTACCGATACCTCAGTTAAGGGAAGTATCGATACCCTTTAGAGGTACCGATAGTACTTTAAATAGAAAATGAAATTTCACCTTTTCTTTAGTTTAAGAAATGAAGGATTAGAGTATTTTATTTGGAATACTGATATGTATCAATGTATGATTATGTAGATATTGAACGTAACCCCGTTCTGAAACAATCAAAGAATTAGAAACGGTCGAGAGAGAGATAAAGTGCTAGAATTGATTCGAATCAAGTGAGGCTAAGGTGAGTGCATACTATAGATATAGTCCAAAGGAAATAAGACTTGTGATAAGTCTATTTCCTATATTTGATTTCATGATTTCCTTTTTCATATACATGCATATGTTATGATTATAGTGAGTATTTGTATAACTCTTAAATGCTTTAATATAATATAATATGTAATATATGCAATTACAAGAGAACAAATCCAAGTATGGGTAATAAGAAAAGTTGTCATATATGTGCATGTGAAGTGAATGATGTGTTATATGAAAAGTGATAAAAGAGATATGAAAATGTGAAATGTATTCATATTTAAGCCCATGTTATAGAATATGAGAGCTGTAGGTATAATTGGCATACCAAAAGTCGAGGGATTATTAGTTGTCCTTCGGGACAAAGTGGTCATTCGGGACAAATTTTCAATGCCCCTAGTGGGAATTTATTCGAGCTGTGGTAACAGCATTTGTGGACAACCTCAGTGTACTCACGTACCTTCTTTTCTCAATAATGTACATGGGCATTTAAAGATAAATTGAATGGAAACTCTTATAAGAAGTTAAGTTTCATATGTGTATATCATAATAATATATGCTATAGTTTAGTAGATACATGTAAATTGTAATGTCCTGATTGATTGATAGTAGTGCATGTTCATGAATTTATTGTTACATGTTCTTTTATGCATCACTAAGTCTGTGACTTAACGTGTAAGTGGTTTACACGTAGGTACCAAAAAGCAAGAAGACCAAAGTTAAAGTCTAGGAAGCAACATCTCTTTTGAAGCGATCAGATCAAAAGTGTTTTAAACAGTATGTTATTTTGTTGTAAGAATTATATTGGCATGTAATTATAGTTTAAATCATAAATACTCTGATCGATTTTTTGTAATAATTTTGATAGTATTTATGTAAATTATTGTATTGTTCTTTTAATAAAAGTTTTAAATTTTATGAGATTTTGTCCAAGTAAACATTTTGAAAAGTTAATGTGACACTCCGGTTTTGTATCTGGGTCAGATACGGGTTGGGGTGGTTACAACCTGAACCTGATCTAACTTGAAAAATATATATATATCTTTCACCCAACTTGACCCAAAGAGCATATTTCCTTCACCTAAATCTGACATGACTCAATTTTTTAGCGTATAAATTCGACCTGACCCGAACCAACCCGATATAAAATAAAGACCTAAAATATAACTATAGAAAAAAAGGATATTATAATAATTATCCATAAATTTATATGAAAAAAATAAATTATTATTCCTGGATCTGACCAGATAGAGGATTTTTCATCCTCCACTCGAACTCGACCTGACCTCACCTTTATATAAATTCAACTCAATCCGACTTGAATTTTTAATTCTTTTTAAAATATCCGACTTAAAATTCATCAATTTCAAATTAAACTGTAATCCTTAATTTTAGGAAACAAAATTTATAAATTTTCAATAAATATTTAAATATATTTTTAATAAAACATATATAAAATTTTCTAAAATATATGTTAATTTTAAACTTTTAAGCAACTATGGTCACCGTTATCCTTCCCATCCATGCCTGCGTTGAACATGGAATATATATATATATATATATATATATATATATATCACCGACTCCCATCAAATACCCAGACAGACCAAACAAAGAAGATCTAAAGCAAAGCATTTCAATAACCGAAAAGACAATGAGAATTTTATAAGGTTCTCTCTTTAAAAACAAAAGCCATAACCGCTAAGCACGCTTCCTGGCATACGTCATAGAAACGACGACCACGCCGATTGAAACGCACACCAAACCAATCCAATTCACGTAAGATGAGAAAGCCGTCCATTTTCCACGTAAGAAGAAGAACCAAATAATCTCAATGATAAAAAAATTATTATTATTATTATTTTTTTAGGTTGATGATAAAAAAATTATTATTATTTTTTAAAATTTTGAATTTAAACATAAAAATATTAAAAATATGACTATCTAATATTAAATAATTAAAAATTATTTTTAAATAAATATTGTAATATACAAACCAGATTAAAAAAAATAAGTGCCTAAGAAAGTAGCAAGAATTTACATGTTTACTTGGCATGTCTTTAAACATTGTAGTGGTAGAGAAACAAACTTCAGAGACAAAAATAGAAACAAACTGGAAAAATGTATCCAAATTTCCCAGGCAAAACTAGACTGATCTTAATAGTAATTATCGACATCCCACGAGTAAGACTCGAAATCCACATCCAATTTAATGGACATATCAGCATAACCCTGTTCCAATCTACTCTCTTCCAGTAACCTCATTTCATCTAGCAATATCGGTTCAGGGTTTTCATAATCAAAGTAATCATATAAAACCCCTGCATCTGTTAACACATACTCATCACAAAGTTGAAAAGATTTATCTTTCCACTCGGTTTGAAGTTCAGCTTCTTCTTCGTTGGGCTGAAATCTGAGAACAGAAGTAGGTGAACACAGGGAGCGAAATTCTTGGCCAGAATCATACCCAGAAATCATTTCAAGTTCAATCTCCGGCTGTCGTGAAGGAGGAGGCTTTACAAAGTTTGTAAGAGCATCAGGACCTTTGAGTCGAACCGCTGCTCTGTCATAGACCAAGGCAGCTTCTTCAGCAGTGTCGTAAGTCCCGAGCCAGACCCTGGTTCGACTCGTTGGGTCTCTTATCTCAGCCGCCCATCTTCCCCATGGCCTCTTTCGGACCCCACGGTACTTGACACAGTTGGACAAACATTGTTGCTGCTTCTTTGATCTCATATTTACAAGATTGGTCTTGTTGTTCGTTGGTCTGTGTTGCTTGTTGAATGTAGAACAATCTCGGATCCTGATCTCACTCACATGCCTTTTCACTTTCTGTATTATCTCCTTTTCACTTTCGTCGCCGGAAGAATCTGTGGCGTCGCCGTCGGTGACATAAATCCTAACCACCTTAGGGTAAAACCAGTAGCTCGACTGCTTCACTAGCTTGTTAGTAACTGTTGTTTTCTCTGTGTATTTCACAGAGAACGAACTTTCTTGATTCATATCCAAATATTTAACATCAAAGATGGGATTTTGAATCTGCAGAGAGGAAAAAAAAACTAAAGCTTTAACTATGGCGGAGAGCAAAAACTCATACTAGAAGAGGAAGGGGAGAGTTGAGTCAAAATACCAAAAATCAGACTCTGGTGACTCGCTGCATGCACTTGTGGATGACACGTGTTCTAGAATTAGAGCTCGGTCCTCCTATTCAGCTTGGTCCCCAAGTAAGAAAAGCCTCACGCGCTGAGATCGCCAGTTGTACAACACGCTTCAAAGGCATTGGTGAGATATATTTCCAAAAATATATTAAAGTTTTGTATTATATTATGTAAATTATTGAGATTTTAATAAATGTAACGAAATAGAGACATGCCCAAGCTTTGTGGGAAGAGAGACGTGGAATCATTATTTAAACGCCAATTCACTCTCTAACTTTATAGTTAATAAAGAAAATGTTTACTAACTTCTTGAACTATTGGTTCAAGTGATAAACATCTTGATATCACTTAAATAAATTTTGAGTTCGAAGCTTTATTATGTAAAAATCTTTTCTCGAAGACTCACTCACCAAAACAATATGAGTGACTCAGATAGATCCGAATTAATAAAGACAAAATCCTAGAATTGGAAAGACAAAAAAAAGTTTTTATAGTAAAAGGTCCGCTTGAATTCGATTTGAACAAAAATGGGTATTATTTTTATAAATTCTGCTGATCAAATTCAAAGAGTTAATTGTATTATATGTTCTTAAAGTATGATCTTTATTTTAAATTGATCCTTAAATTTTTAAATATTTTAATTTCATTTCTAAACTATGACTATCATTCAAAGTTAATCCTCAAACTTTTAAATATTTTAATTTTATCCAAAAACTATGAAATTTATTTTAAATTGGCCCCAAAACTTTTTGAATATTTTAATTTCATCCAAAACTATACATATATACTAATCACATATCTTGTTAATAATATCGTTAGGTCAAGCTATATTATTATATGTTTGTAAAAAAACAAAATTTAGGTTAAATTATGGTTGAAACTAATTACATATTTCAATGAATTTGGAGATAAAATTGGAATATTCAAAAGTTTAGGGTCTAATTTAGAAAGAGGGTCATAGTTTAGGGATAAAATTAAATATTCAAAAGTTTAAGGACTAATTTAGAATGAGAGTCATAGTTTAGAGAAAATTAAAATATTTAAAAGTTTAAGGACTAATCTAAAATAAAGATTATAGTTTAGGTACAGATGATGTAATTAACTCAAATTCTCTAATACTAATCGCACCATATATAGTAAGATACACCTTTATGTGGATTCCCTCTTTAATTGACACTTAAGCATAGAAATAAATCAATTTTTTTAAAAAAATTATATATAATTTATATAAAATTTTATTTATAATTCTAAATTCACAATATTTTTTATAAAATATTTAATCATCGGCTAGCGTGACTTGTTATTTTTTAAAGATTTTTATGTATCTTATATTATATTTTTTATAATTAATTTTAAAAATTATTATAATTTAATGATTTAAGTTTTAAGATATAATAATTAAGAATTTAAATATATGTATTAAAATATTTAATATATTTTAATTTATACATGTAATAATTTTGTGCAACACGTAGATAAGAAAAATAATATAGTAATTTTTTATTAATAATATAGTAATGTTAGAATTGATGAATTAAACTTTTTGTGTATTTTTCTTTCAAGTTAGTCGATGAATGTTCAATTTTTTTTCATACATATATTTGATAAATCTGATTAGATTCGATTAAGGTGAAATACTATCTTATTTTAATAGTCTTATCTCAAGTTAGTTGTTTATTGAAAAGTTATTTTAATAATATTTTAATTATGAGGGTAAACTACATATGGTTAGTAATGTTTAAGTAAGATTTTGTTTTCTCCACTAAAGTTTCAAAGGTAACAAAATGATCACTAATATTATCGATTTATAATAAACGGATCAGTCGATGTTATCCATCGTTACTATGGGTGACGAAAAGCTGACATGGCGTGCTAATGTGAAGATGAGAGAGAGTGAAGATTGAAGAGAAAGATTTGTCAAAATGGTGGTCAAACGGTGCCATATCAGCAATTAATACGCCATGTCATCTTTCTGTCACCCACAATAATGATGGTTAACGTCGAGTGGTCTATTTGTTGTAATTCAATAATGGTAGTGACCAGTTTGTTAGTTTTGAAACTTCAGTGAAAAACACAAAAACTTGTTCAAATATTAATGACCATTTGTACAATTTACCCTAATTATTAATGATAATAATCTCTTAGATAATATCGATTATTCATTAGAATTTAGTTTGAGTTATTAAGTATACTGATTTGAGAATAACAATTATTTATATACTCTCTTAATAAATTATTTACATTTAATATGCATAGGTGCTAATAAAACTTAAAACTTTTTATATGCATATGTGTTATTAAAATTTAAAACTTTCCATAAATAATAATTAAGAGGAAATCTTTGTTTAATTTTTTTAATTATACGAGTGATTATAAGATAATATTTGTTTAACATTTTAGTTATTTAATAATTAATACATATACATCATGCAGATGTAATTGTTCAACCCTAAAACATTCAAAAAGAACAATATTTTCTTTTGTAATTGAAATCGCTAAATGATTCTATCTTTCTTTAATATTATTTTAGAAAATTTTTACATTTAATGTAATATTTTTTCATTAAAGCGTGTTTATTCTTGACACCAGGGGTTGATGTACATGGCTCCTAAGGGAGCCATTGCACACCCATTATTTTGAGAAAGTGTTAAATTTAGTTTAATTTGTAAATAGGAATAGAAAAAAAAAATTTGCATACCCAAATTTTTTTAGAATAAGATATTAAAATTTTGGACCCTCATTTTTTAATTTCTAGATCCGCCACTGCTTGACACGTCGTATTAATCCAAACTTGTTAACGTTTTTCAATAACAAGGATTCATTAATTATATATATATATATATATAAAATATTATGTTTAACTCAACATCAAATATTAATTTCCTAACAAATATTAGTTTAGGTGGTATATTCACCATTGTAGGCTCATAAAGGCTAGGCACGAAATGCCTTACTCTGTTGAATATAATTAAAGATTTGAAAGATTAACAGTAATTTTGGAAATATATCAATATAAAATATTAGACATTAATTAAAAAGAGTTAATTGTATTACATGTCCCTAAACTATATCTCTCATTTTAAATTGGTCCTTAAACTTTTTAATATTTCAATTTCATCCCTAAATTATGACTCCCATTCTAAATTATTCCTTAAACTTTTGAATATTCTAATTTTATCTCTAAACCATGACACTCTTTCTAAACAAATCTCCTAACTTTTGAATATTCCAATTCCATCCCCAAGTTCATCCAACTATGTGATTAGTTTCAACCATAGTTTAACCTAAATTTTGTTTTTCCCCCATACATATAATAATAAAACTTGAACTAACGATTTTATTAATAAAGGATGTGATTAGTATATACATATAGTTTGAGATGAAGTTGGAGTGTACAAAATGTTGGAGGACCAATTTAGAATTAATGTTATAGTTTGGGGATGAAATTGAAATATTCAAAAGTTTTTAGGATTGATTTAGAATGATAGTCATAGTTTAGGGATAAAATTAGAATATTTTAAAAATTCGAGAACAATTTAAAATAAGAGTCATACTTTAAGGGAATAAGACACAATTAACTCTTAAAAAATAATATGGAATTAACCCTTTGACTTTTAAAAACAATTGATTGCTTGGAAACCAAGCATCGAAATTTTCTCTTTGAGAAATGAAATTTATATTTTAAAAAAGAAGTGTTTTGTATGTACATTGTCGGTTCCAATGCATTCCGAGTTTGGCAGTTGACCGTGAAACAGAACCACTCAAAATATAAAAATAAGGGTAAATCACACAAGTGAAAAAGGGTAAATCACACAAGTGATCTTTTATATTTTTGATCATTTAGTTCAGACAAGAGTGATATTAGTCATTTACTTTATCGGTTCGTTCAGTTTTAATCTATAAATCGACACTTTCAGTTAATCTATTAATGAAAATCAGAATTGATAACCAGAATTGATAATTAAAATAAGTTCACATGTAATTGACATTTAAATAACACAATCTATCATATTTCTCTTGAAAATTTTGATTAGTTTTTAATCCAAACGCAAAAATAGTTAAATTAAAATTCTGTCATGTAATTAACACATGTGATGTATTGTATAATAAAGGGATTTTAATAAATAATAACTATTTAACGTGGTATACTTTGAATAAATAGGTTAGCATCGATGGACTAAAACTGAACGAGCCGATAACATAAAAATCCAAAATTATTCTTTCTTAAATCGGTGATCAAAATAAGAGATCGAAAAAAATAACAAAACCACAACTATAGTTTACCCTAGAATTAATGAAGGTGAATATATTGATTCTGTTACTATAAATAAAACCAGTTATTTTATTTAGATTCTCATAATTCAACTTTCCATTCCATTGATTAAAGTTAAAACTGAATCCTATTTTTTAAAACTTGCACGTCACGTAACATATATTATATAGAAACATTTATTTATATTAATATTAAATTTATTAATTAAATAATTCAGATCGAATATTATAAAATTTTATTACAAATATTATAATTTTAAATAAATCTTTTTATTCATAAAAAAATAATTTAAAATAATGAACTTACTTAAAAGATTTAATCTACCAGTCATTCCGGTCGACCAATTGATATTTATTTATCTTTTTATATTGATTTTTTTTACTATTTTAAAAATATAATTATTATAAATAATAAATATATTGGAAGCTTGGAGAGAAAAGCATGAAAAAGGAAGATAATATGAGTTTAGAGTCGGTAGAAAAAAAGAGAAACAACATTTGTTTGTGTCACCCACTCACCCTTGCTCTCATTTACTTCACGTGACTACTATTTAAATTGCTAAATTTAATGATAAGAGTAAAGTACACAAATGTCCTTGATTATAGAGTAATATTTTGTTAGGTCTCCCGAGTATAATTTACTGTTTTGTAG